TCTGGGAAACCGAAGCATCGTTACCAGCACATGATAAAAGTGTGCAACTCGTTTCCACTCCGGATTTCCTGTCACGGAAATCAAAGGCGGTTAGTCAGCATGCAGGGCGCGACCTGATTATGAGGCGGTTGCCGAGGTACAAGCGAAAGACCTAATGCACGCGGTGAAGAAGCTGCAAGTGTAAGCTCGACTGGCGCCGATGGGCTGTATTCCATAGACTTTGAGCGCACCGTATTTTAGCACCTGAAGTCATCGTGGCCAGCATCAGGCGGACCTAGTTAGCCACCAGCTTGGCTCCTCAGCACCAACATAGAAAAGGTGCCCGGTCCTGGGGAACACGAATCCAAACAGCGCGGGTTTGGTAGGTAACCAACATTCAATTTACTAAGCACTTGCTTGACTGCCGAGCTTCTCTAATTCATCTAGTTTGGTTGCTATATACTGTGATGCTTACTTACTTTAGGCCTTTAGATGACGGCCTGAATAGCTTAGCTTTTACCTACCTACCTATTGGCGTCGCTTAAGCAGTTATTGTTTAAACTCCTAAGCACTTTCGCCTTTGTAGCATTCTTTAAAATTATCTTCGACTGGCCTCGTGAAATTATCGCGGATTTTTAGGTAACATAATTATTTCATACATTCAATAAGCAAGTGTAACTTCGGTCTTTCTGTACACCTTGTTCAAGAAGTAGGCTTTGCTATCGTTATTTTAAGTTATTGGCTATTCATTGACATTCTCGGTTTGGCTGCACTTGTTGTGCCCTTTGAAAAGTGGCCTGTCTGTCTAACAACATCCAGCGCCAACACTGGCGCCAAGAGACCGTTAAACGTTGCTAGGGGCGAGTAGCCGTTCCGTACGGAAGTGCTAGGCTGGAAGGTTGGCTCCTTCCAATGTGGAGCGCACTACTATCTAGTCCCTGCCATGAGTGCACTTGATTCCTCAAATGCAGCTTGCTTGTGTTTGCCAGTGAAGGAGTGTAGGCAGTCTGCACTGATGAAAGTCGGCTCCCGTCCGCATGCTTCCAAGTATTTTACCTTTGTGTTTACCCTGGATATGGGTGTGTGTGGATGGCGCTATGTATGGTGCGAGCGTCCTGTTGAGACCACGCTGACGGGCAAATGCCAGACTGCACGCCGCCAACCATTTATAGAAAATGGCCTCGCTATATGCGCGTATATTTATCCCGATTGCTATATACATATGGTTTTGTCAGTATTAGCAGACCGAACGTATACTAATATACCTGCTCACATATCCTTTAGTTTATTTATATATAAGTTCGGTACGTAGTAGGATAGCACTATTCTTTTAGGCTACCACCGTTAATGGTTTCTATGCCTAGTACCAGGTTCACCAGTACCCGCAAATGCCTTTCGCATCGGCAATTTTCCTTCACTCAGCGTCAGTGTGCCAATCTATACTTACTTTGTCTTTCAAATATTACCGTTACCCTTTCTGAAGCATTACAGTTGATAAACAGTAATGTACATGCATGTTTTCTTTAAGCTTAGCCAACATGTGCGGTTATTTCTTTCATACTGAAAGAAATAGCATAGCTTGGTCACGCATTACATGAATAACATATTACTGCTATTACAAAAACTACTCAGTAGAGGGCTTTTAGAATGTAGTATATAGGAAAAAACACTAATATTGTGACAAAACAATAAAAAGTAAAAAAGTAGTAGGGCTAAAACTAATGGAATATGTGTATAGCACAGTGCAGGACTAGATGGTTGGCAAACACCGACTTTGGATTTACCTCTTACGGTGGCCAGTCACAGCACGACTGCGCTTACAGAGGGCCATGCGCATCTTGCGCTGCACCTTTCACCGCACATCCGCCAACCCCATAACCAGTGTGAACCCGAAGGAATAAGGCCGGAAGGCATGTGGTCTGGAACAACTTTGCATCAACGGAGCCAGCCCGCAATCCTTCACGGACAAGAACAAGCAGGCTGTATTTGGGAAATCAACCGCACACAAAGAGTGGCTAGACCGTAGACCAATCCAAACTGAGTGTATGGGATCACGCGTCGAGCCAGACACAACCGCAAGGAAGCACCTTCTGTCCCCTCCAGCACCGACCAGCTGTCCCCTGGAGCCAGAATAGACGAGGTAATTGGTGATAGACAGTCAAGCCCTTTGTCAACCTAGACAGAGGTCGCCGCCACACCGGGTGTATAAAGCAACCGCCAGGCAATTCGAAGGACGGAAACAAGAAAGTAAACCGAATAATGGGAAAAATGTCAAGGTAACACTTTGAAAAATGAGCATATGTAATTAATGGGTTGCTACAATATCAACCATAATTACAAGACGTCAGAAAACATACTTTAGGAAACGGTCACAAACGCGAAAATCTCTTTAAAGCTGACTACACTTAAAGCTGGTGGCGTGCAAATTAATATAAGCTAGGTCCCTTAGACAATAATGAGACAATATATAAAACCCGCAGACTGTAATGGTGGCCCAACTTGCAACTAAGCTGTTAGAAATCGAATACAGCTTACCTACAAATGCTGTGCTGGTTCTGCTTATTTGCTCAGCAAGGCCCGTCGTTGTTTCTGTGTTTGCCCTGAGCGGCCTGACAGTTGGCTCACTATACCTGTTCGAGTCAAGCAACTGAGTCCGCGTTTGCTATGACACAGCGCGCTCCATGTCGATGGAGTACAACCCGTCAGCGCCAGCCGCTTCCGCACTTGCTGCTTCTTCTCCGCAAAACGACGTCTTTATCCTGCACCTCAGCAACCGTCTTCCTGTTCAGATCACGCCCTGGAAGCAGCTCAACCGGCTTCTCGTCCCATGACCTGCGATCAAGCTTAGGACGTGAGGGGTCCGATTTCATCATGTCCTGACAACCTGACTTCGGGTCCCCCGCATACCACTTCCCAAGACTCCGCTGAATAAATAGTAATTGCTCCAGTATCCGCGTCAGATGCATGCTTTATACCGCGTGCTCTACATGTCAACCTTACGTGTGGTCAACAAGCCCATATAATTGTCAAAGGTGGGACGTCCATGTCGCCCCTCATAACGAAGCCATCGTTGGCATTACTTGTTTGCATGAGCGGTGCATAACAAGCTAATATGGGTCTGTTAACAGTAGCGTCCTCATTGAGACAAAGAAGAGATACCATTTTGACTTCAGTTACGTAAACAACTGGGGTCTAATAAGTCTATGTAGGCCGCACTAAGAAACCACCTTACTTGCCTCAGCAAACGCACATTATATGCTCCACGCGACTCCATGAACGGTTGTTACTAGCATGTGCAGGCCCTGCGGCCTATACAACAGCCTTACCATCATCACAGCCTCAACAATGGAACCCAACTGCTTTCCAGTCCTGTTCTTAGTAATCCCAAAATGTTCAGTATACTTAGTATAATTATCACCACAAGCAGAGCCGAAGTTAATGTTTCCGTAGGACTTCACGACCGGCGTTAGTTGAGCGCAATTTCGGCTCACAACAGTGGTATCTGTAGCGCAGAGTACAAAACCACAACGATTGGTTCCACCCACTACCATGAACGGTGGTTTCTTTGCTTATACAAGTCCCATGGCAGGTGCATAAATACTCAGTAGCAAAGAACGAAGTCTCGGTTCCGCACTCCTGCGAGGCCGGCTCTTATAAAGCAGTTATAGGTTCCACGGCGGTGACTACACAAAAGCCACTGGCCGTGCCTCCACTATAAGTGCCGCATGTATCGATGGGGCTTATATTAAGCCCCTATAGATTCCTAGGCAGGCATCCTTATCGCAACGAACGGAGTCCATTACGTAGCTTGAAACGGTGCTTCAGCAACATGCATCGTATGGGCTTTATTACTGTCACTGGAACAAGTTTTACGCAGGCTACACGGTTACCATTTTCCGACACAGCACGGAACTTCCTAAGTTCCAGTTCGGTGATCACACACCAAAACATTTGTATGCCAACAAATAATGGTAACAGCTAGAATGCGGACCTCTGTACAGGTGCATCTGCTATACGGTGCATCCGCTTGGCCAATACAACTTGTCTACCGGTAGTAGATCTCGAAAGCATATCCAAAAAGGTAACAGCTTAACGTTGCGGCGGGTTGGCAGTGTAGGTAGGATGCCATTTTGCGAACCAGTGAAAGCCAGCATGGGCTTTTGGCCTGTCAGAAGCTTGAAGCGGCGGTAGTATAGCATTTAATAGAATTTCCTGACCGCAAAGACTGTCGTCTACGCTTCTGCCTCAATTTGGCGGTAATTCACCTCGGCTTCAGCAATCCTTCCGGCGACATGGGCGAACTTTTCTGAGATCCACCAGTTTACGTGTGTAAAGTTACGGCGCCAATCCCATGGCTTGATACATCAGTGGCTAAGACAATCACTTTAGAAGGAGCAGCTTAAGTCAAAAGTTAGTTTGAGGACAGCAATGTCTTGACACTTTCAAAGACATGCTGTCATCCAGTTCCTTGTTTAGCCTTTGGTTAGTAGCTTTTTAACGAGGCCCCAGGTGTGTATCTTGGGCAAGGATGCGCTATAGTATCTGGTGAGCCTCAAGGTAACGCAGGGACTGCAGCTCTGTTGGTGGAGGCATTTTTCTAAGGGCTTCTAGGGTTTCCGGATTTCATGGAGTCCATACATTTTGGACATACAACCGAGGTATTGCTGCTCGGCATGAAAAACGTGCATTTATGCACACAGATCCGAAAAGCTACGGCTGAATACAACCAGACCCTTTATACATAGATTTTCGGGCTTCCTAACCATTAATATGGCATCAGCCATATATGCAGCGGCTCCAGCAAAACTCGCTAGCATGGCATCTAACGCTGCAGTATCCTCGGGATGACTGAAAGCCGGCAACCACTTGAATTAGTTGGAGCATAGCGACCAAAGCAGAACTCGAGCAACGAGCACTTGAACATTGAATTTACTAACGAGGTACAGCAAACCATCCCCTGAAGCTGTACTGTGGAGGTTGCCTAGGCGGGAAACGAAACCTTTGCACAAAATATCACTCAGCTAGGAGGATAGCCCAAAAATCTCATGGTATCTAGCAAAGGTCGGAAAATGCCTGGCGCCGCTTTTACTCCTAAGGGCAAGCACTTGTATTGGAATATCCAACGGTGAGCGTTGATCGTCAACCCTCAACTGAAGGTAAGCACCGGACCGCTCAACCTTAGCAATACGCTTACCGACATACAGGTTTGCAGGGATATCGGCTGGTACTGGCACTTGGTACTGGTGGTCGTCCAACGCAGCCTTAAGGCAAGTTGCGAGGCCAGCGCAGACGCGTATCTTGCCACTTGCCTTCTTCACTGCGACAATAGGTGCAGTCAACGGTGCGTCGTTCACGACTGTGATGAACCCGACAAGTTCCAGTCGATCAAGTTCCTGAGCAGCGGTTGACCTTGTTGCGAATAGTAAAGCCCTTGTAGGCTTCATTACTGGTTTGCACCTAGTCGCAAGCTTGGCGTTGCCTTGAACGTCGTATAATGGCTCAGGAGTTCTGACAGACAGAGGCAGTGTCGCTTCATCGAAAGTGGCAAATCTTCGACGGACTTTGCTGACGGGTCTGGACTTGCTCGAACTCGCCTGCTGGTCTGATTAAAGGGAACAAGGAGAAGTTGTAACTTTTCAAACTAGTCAATACCAAGGAGATTAAAATTCGGCCGGTCCAAAATGTAGCACTTTCCCGACTCTTCTACAACTTTGAAAGAAACATCGCAAGAAGTGCGCCCCATAACTTTACTAAACCGCCGGATTCATTATGTGTGACTTTCTGAGACACGGGTTCTTTGACCTCTTTCTGTAATTCCGTGTGTTTCTGAAAGTAATCCTGGTGTCCGGAGCCTCGTCGCATTAGACTTTCTTCGGAATCCCATTGCGCAACACGCTGATAAATCTTTATCCCCCTTTATCATCACTATGGAAAGCGGCACCTAAGGACAGGGACTTTGCGCCATCCCACTTAGAATTCCTCTTCTTTTAAGACTTCTTCAGTTCTTCGGTCCTGCCTGACTGCATAATTTCTCCTTACGAACGTACTTATTGCACCTTTGGTAAATATTACCTATGATCGGACAAAAGCGCGCTAAACGCCAGTCGAGGCATGGCCAGAATGCTCTGGGCGGTTAGTACGCAGACCACCTGAAGGTTTTGCGGGAGTCGCCAGTCTTTGCTTCCTTGGCGTAATGCACCGTACCTGGTGGTGCGTGAAGATGCCCATTCACTAGGGTGGTGTCGTGTCATAGTGTGTGCAGTCCTTTGCATTCGCTCACGACGGTCTTCAGTGTCAGATCAGGTTTTGGATACAGATTAGCGGAAAGCTGCGTGCGGATCTCAGTATCACTGGGGGGTTGTAGAGTGGTGATATAAATGAGTCACTTGAGCTGCTCGTGCAGTAGAGCGCGCAATTTGAAACACACATATACACGGTTAATCATTTAAATAAAAGCCCCAAATTCGCCTGCCTTCCGTTTGACAATTTTCAGACCTTGCTGCAGAATACTAAACAAGGGGCTGACTCACTACCAATTGCCTTCAGCTGCCACACTGCTTTGACAAACGACAGCCCCTTCCGTTGGTTGGGCAGGAAGCGGTCTAGGTGTCTTGAATGTTCACATGTTCCGAGCTTGCTGAGTAGCAGTTGCAACTCCCAGGAGTCATACCGACGAATAAAGTCCGTCCGAAACATGTCTTCCCAGCGCTTGCACCTTACTTCGAATGTGTATCCATCATCGGCGTCATACTTGAATTCAATGATTAACTTCGTAGGAACATCAACCGAACATCACTGCACATTGCGTGTTGCGTCCCCCTTGTCTGCAATTTTAAGTATTGTGCCGGGGGTTAGATAACATGCACTTATGCCTCCTGTAAGATTGCTGTTGGAAAATCAGCTTTTGAAATTGTTCAGTAGGAAATTCATCACATTTTTACTTTTCACTGTCTTTCTTTGTTACAATCTTCCCAGTAGAGGCGAGTCCAAAATTGGCAATTGTTATTTCACCAACGTTCCAGTCGAACCGAAGGAATAAGCAGACCAACAGTGACCATGAGAAATAACGCGTAGATTGAGCTAACTGTGTCAATAAAAATCTGTACAACTACCACGGGCCCAGGCTGTGTTACTAGGCCTCTAACTGATCTACGATTACTGAAATTGGAAGGTCACCTACCAAAGTTAGTGGTTCCCCAGTAACTAGGCCGAGACGTCAGGTGCGTGGGTGTCACGCCCCGTACTTAGAACAGTCGGAGGTTCGAAAGTGCTGCGTTAATCGTTAATTCTTGCTTATTCGTTAAAATAGTGGATATTTTAAGCTATTCATAGCCTCTCCTGGAGAATATCCTCCTGAGGAGCTGTGGCTGTGCGGTGTTGGCGACTCATTGCGCCCTTAAAAAAGGGTACTAGTAATTGTTCGGACGTGGAAGGTGCAGGTGCAGAGCTACTTGACCGAGTGGTATCTCTCGACAAATATCGTCCCACAGAATGCACTCCTTGGACCCATTTTCTTCCTGCTGCACATTAGCGCTTGACCTCTACGCAAGGCACCTTGCGCGTTGTTTATAGATAAACAAATAAATAAATAGATAGTTCTCGAATTTGTCGAGACGCACCCAACTAGGCATGAGCAACGTTTACCTGCGATTATGTTCCGCAACAAGCACGTTGTTATGTATGTAACCGTCAGTAAAGCGAAAGTTGTCCAGGCTGCGGAAATTGTAAACGTAATCACGAGGAAAAGTCGTGAATGAATGACAATACGTTGGGTTTTAGCGTGCGTTGTGCAAAACTCAGAGCACCATATGTGTAGTGAAATCGATACATGTAGGCAAGGAGTATCTTACGCTTGAACGTGTCAAGCAAAGATTAAATACCGATGCTAATCGACTTGCCAGTAGGTAGTTGTGGGCAGTGACGTTGTTCAGGTGCGAGCCACTTCCGTTAAGTCGCAGTATTGTTAAGCGGACAGTTGTGGCTTTTTTAGGTAGAACGCTTGCAAGGCGAAAACCCACCACGTCCTGGAACACTGTCAAGAATCCGTTTGCACACTATTGTACAACTGGCCCAGCAGCCTGCCGACAACTTTCACACCCGGTTATCCGCAAGCAACTGACTGACGATTTTCGCTGTTAGTTTATCAGCTACCTTGGTCAGGGCCGCCGTAATCGTTGCGGCCAGTCAAGGAGGATAGCTTCGCAAGAGTCGTCTTTGTGAGTGTCTACTTGAGCAAAAAACGGTAGTTTCTTGTGTCTGGATATTTCAGGTTATGTATGCTTTACTGGACAACAGTCATGACAGTGAGTGCAGTGGTATCTATTTACTTTACAGCCATGTTATTTGTAGGTCCTCGTAGGTTGTTATGTCCAGTTCCTGGCAAAAACGATTCTTCGGTCCAATCCCAGATCTCCAAGAAGTTCCGGACCTCGAAAAAAGGGAAAGTGACAGACTACCAAGGCCGCAAACAGCAGGCGTGGGAACGAACACTGGTAATATCCTAGGTTACACCGTTTAGAGTGGAGGCAAAATGATGTACAAGGTGAAACAATGGTTATCCAGAAAGTCTTTTTAACTATCTACGAAATCAGTGGCCGCATAGGTAGGCGGTTACCATCTACCAGGAATACAGAGCGTTGCGACATTAAGCGAAGCACGTAGCATCGGTTTGCTGTGATGCAACCATTGCATGGGATGACAGAAAGAAGAATTTAAAGACTGGCAGCGAGTGAATGGTAGATGAACAGCTGGTAGCTAGCCCCCTTTGATAAGGAGCGCAGAATACGCAAGTGAATAGATAAATAGCTTGCTACGAAAGTGATTCAAAGGTCAATTGGTGGTAAGGCAACGGATAGATAGGACTCAAGCGAGGAGTAAAAACGCTTGGGGACCTAGGCAGCCAGTCGACACGAGGACACTAAGAGCATAGTGCTATGACCGACTGAGATGGGAAAGCCTGTTTGAGAGCCGACGAATTACATGGGCAAGTGTTGAAACCCTTGCTGCGAAAAAGGAAATAGTGCACCTTCGAAGAATTGGTTAAGAAGCGAATACACTGATTAGGCGAGAAAGATATGAGCAAAAGAAGTGAAGTAATAAGAGCAGCTAAAGGAAAGCAAATGTGCCGAAAAATATATACACAGCGTCGCGCAGAGAAAGGGGTAAAGCTAGAGTGTTAAGAAAATGGTACTATGGTATGCTAACCCAGGCGAAGCCAGTGAGTCTGTTGGACGCATACAGGAAGAAGTGTCGAAAACATAGCAGCGAATAAGTGATAACTGAACACCTAGAAATGAGAAGCTAACGGGCGTCCGTGTGTTGATCTGGTGAGAAGTGTTATGCCCTTTAAAACCTAAGAAAGGTTAAATGATGGAAATGCAGCGAATAGCCGGAATGCCAGCGTACCTTAAGGTTGCTTAGGATATCAGAACATGACACCTAATGGCAGCAGCTAGGTTGCTAAGATATTAGTACCAGGCTGGATGGAACCAGGGAATGGGTAGAGGGTATTTGGGGCGCCTGATGAGTGCGCCCACCTTCAGCGTAACCTTGACCGACTCTGCACGTGGTCAGCACAAGTCAACCTTCCGAGCAAACCGGTTAACTCGCTGTACATGAGCCGGGGCAAGCATGATACCAGCCGAGTCAATAATCTGGCCATCGTCATCGCCATCTGCAAAAGATCTCGGCGTGCACACCTCCTGCGTGTTGATGTTCATTGTAAACAGGGCAGGCATTACCAAAACGGAATGGGCATGCTCTGTGCGCTCAAACCCAGCGTCTGCATTTAGTCCGATGGGGTATTTTCCCGCCTCTCCTCTTCCAACTGACCACTGCTAGAGTACAGCTCACCCGCCTACTGTCCGCTCACTAGCGGCAAGGTGCAAAGGTTTGTGCAGGTGTAGCAGTTTCAAGGCTAACCGGTTTGCCTTTGCAACGTACTAACTTTAATACTCCGTCTCACCTTTTCACCCAGCTGTTTCTCTAGCATCTGATTAATGAACATGCTACGTTATTATTTGCATGGGTCTCAAACCCGGCGTGGTAACTCAACTGGCTCTCATACATGTTCGAACGATAAGCTCTACCACTGTCAACCGATCGCTCAACCCATATCTTAAGCGCATATTAAACCACTCACTATTTTCTGATTTCCTCAACTCATTAAGCGGTTAACAACGCCTGATACTCCCGGTTTCCACACAGGACAACATTTGCGCACGCTAGGCCACTTCGGACAGCATTTCTCTCATGTTCATCAAATACCGGGTTTCGTGCTTGCACGCAAAACTACGGATATGATGTATAACATATTCGGTCATTCCATTGCATTCAACTAGCACAACGTTACCATAAATTTTATATTTATACATTAAGGTAGTCCTGTTCAATTTCCTTGGCAGTTTGCTCGGTCCGTTTTTCTTCTCTCCCTTGTTCTAAGAGA